CTTTTAGGGTTCAGGCTGCTTCTGGATGTTTGGTGAAGTTAGCAATGCTACAACAGTATTGGTCGTTCCACCCCATTACTGGGTGGTCAGACATTGAAGAGGCACGTCAGCCTGTACACCATAACTGGGTAAGACAATGGGAGGCATGGAGAAAGGACGAACAGAGCCTTTCCAGGGCTCCGGTAGATGGGGAACCCAGGCCAGACGTCGACAACATACGGGGAGGTCCCATCACTGACGGGCCGCAGCGAGTCTGTGATCATGATTTCTGCTAAGCACCTTCGAGCAGGAATTGAGACGTGATATCTTGGGAACGTTTAGACTTCCCAGGTTCGATGTATTCTCCAACAACATCGTGACAGGGTCGCTTAGCAGAGGATGTGCCAGAGACACCTGGGAGTGCGTTGGCCCTTCTGTGCATGACTCTCAGCCATGCACGATGACACGCCCTAAAGCCTAAACCCTAGTTCCCAAGCCCTGCCATAAACAGACTTTATGGGTTGGCAGCGAATCCTTGCAGAATCCCTGTTCAATGCCATCACGCCCAGTGTCAGGAGCATTGTCCCCCTCTAGCCCTGGGGAAATTGTGGTTTGTTTTCACAAAAAAAACATGGTCGTTTTTGAATGCCGGTACGTTACATAATTTTTTGAGAGCTCTGAAGCGCTCAACCCTAAACCCTGAGACTCTATGCCTTAAACCCTCAAGACCTCAGCTCCGTGCATTGAGCCGACTTCCTATTTTGAACCGTTTTCCAGGTAGACTTCGATTGATTGGTGGGCTGGCCTTACCCTGAACCCTAAACCGTAGTGCAAGCCTGAGTCAGCTGGATTGGAACCTTCTGCCGCTTTCCTGGCCATGCAAGTTGCAAAGCTCCAAACCGTCTCTTGCCACTCACAGGCTAGGGGAGCTCCGGTGAGCGGTAGTCTAAACTCCTGAAAGGGGGTTATCTAGGGGATTATATAGGGTTCACATTATAGGGGTTATTAAAAGGGATGCTGGGAGTTTAGATTTTGGCTCAGGTAATTCGTTGCCCTCCTGGTGAAGCGGCGCAGATGGTTGCGGAGCGGTTAGAGGACAGGGACGTTTAGATGCAGGGATACTAGAGCCCAATATGGACTAAGATGATCTATTCTTTTTGCGTATAGTACCCTCCAAGAACAATCACACTTTACTTGGTTCGGCTTTCTGGCATTTTAGCAACTCAGATTGTCATCTAGATTCTTTAGGGCCTGCCGTTGCTTGTCGGGATCTGATGCTCTTTTCGGGCTTTCAGTAGGGACTCTTGCGTTGTGTGCTGTGCAGCATTGCAGTTCTTTTGGGGTCTACAGTGAGTTTCATGGCTGAGCAAAGACCTCAGGAAGCAGCAAGCAGAACTAGAATCTTAACTTTTCCAGTTGGTTTCAGGATGACACATTCTTTAAGCAGGTAGTGAAGACATGAGGGGTTGAGTGCCTGAAGGGGTGCTGCGTACAAGTGAGTGACCCTGAAATCGTCAATAGGGACGCCTGGAATCCTTTTGCGATCGCCGTGCGTCCTCAGTTGCTAAGCTACCCTTAGTTGATGAACCCCCATATCCAAGTTCTCGAGTGCTTCTTGTCGCGCGGCCTCCTTGATTCTGCGCATGGGGGCATGTTCTGAACACAACACACTTGATTTTGAGGTTTGAAAAAGCCTCTTTGAAGCCGCCGTGTCGTCTTCATTAGGCATGTATTATGGGGGTGTATTCGGGATAATATAGGTAATATCTGGTCATAATGACAAAGAACATGAAAGCTTTCGATTTAGTGTAGCACTCCCGTGGCCGGCGTACGACCTTCCTGAACACCATCCCATGCTGCCTGGTGACCAATGCTCAGCGTAACGCGTTGCGACTCCCAACCCCAAAATCCAACCCTAAACGCTAAATCTAAGGCAAATCTCAATCCCGAAACCCCCAAATCCAACCCTAAACCCAGAACCCATGAACCCTGCGCCCCAAAACCAACCCTAAACCCTAAACCCTAAACCCTAAAAGCCAGCTTGTCAGCCCTGAACCCCACACCCTCCTCCTCCCAAAGCCTGAGCGGCAGCAGTTGACCCTCAAAACTTCTGACCTCAACCAAAGATTCACCGAAATCCGAACCGGTCCAACAATAGACCTCAACCCTGGCTCCTCCATCCCTTAAATGAACCCAAACAAGTTTTGCACATTCCCAAAATATCATTGCCACGTTTGTAAGAGGGAGCAGATGTTTGCCTGTCTGCCGGTCAGTATGCATGCATGTATGTATGCATGTATGTATGCATCAGGAGTCACCTGGAACAACCGCACAGCTGTCAGTAGCTGTACCAGACAGTTAAAAACAACGGGGCGTATGATCTGCCTGTAACATACATATGCGCAACTCGGTGTGATCTGTGCATGTGTGCATGTATGTATGTATGTATGTATGTATGTATGTATGTGTGTATGCAGTGTATGTGTCTATGTGTGTGTACGGATATAAAAATAATACCAGGGGTGTGCGGGTGTCATTGCCGCGGGAGAGGATTACTTTACCATCCAGGTGATGAGCTAAGACCCCAGCCGCATGCCCGTCCCACATGCCTCCTAGTATGTATTCTGCCTGAAGAAGGATGAGATAGGAAGAGGAATGCATGAACTCTAGATCCCAAGACCCTAGCGCCCAAACAAATTCGTGAGGAGCGTATTCGCGAGCTACTCGCCAAAAGTGGTGTAGCAGCGGAGCTTTTTGCCGCTGCCCGCACAGGGGCTGAAGCCCCAGGCGCTTCGCGCTGCTTGGCATTCCTTTTTCGGGAGTGCAGGGGAAGAGGAGGGTTGAAGGTAGAACGCGGCTTGGGTACAGTGTTGTTGTGATGGAAGAACTGCTTGTGTCTTGAATGTTTTCGCCTCTGGGATGGTAGGGTTTTTCAGATGTTTTCAGGCTTAGGCTTTGCAGACCATGTGAATGATCTTTTGTCTGGGTTGAGCCGGTTAAGCCGATGGAGCTGGTTTGAGAAGATTTTAGGAACTTCTGACTTTAGGGGGTTTAGGGTTTAGGGTTAAAGGTGTGGGGAGGGGCGTGGCACGCAGGCTCACAAGAAGGGGGTGGGGATTGTGCAGGCATGGTTTGGTAGGTACACAGGGAGTAGTAGCGGGGACAGCGGTGCTAAGAATGACTTTGACAGGTGGTTCACTCAAGGAAGAGTATTACGTCTAATTTTGTAGTGCGCTCCGAGGAGCTTTCAGCTTCACAGCACGGATTGTAGCTACCATAGCCCTAAACCCTAAACTAAACCCTAACTCTAGCAGTTTTCTCGGATTGTCTAAGACGCCAGGAGCAGGGAATAGCAGCACACACGGTCAGGGTGCAGTGCGCACCTCAATGCTTGTTCGCATCAGGCATGTGAGCAGGGACGTTATCGTCCCCACGATAGAGTAAGATTATATCCTCCTTTTGAGTGTGGTATTTGTTGCAGAAGTATAACCTTAATAGTCTCAACCACCAAAACGTGCGAATCATTTGTGGCTTGAAGTTCTCAAGGCTCCCGTGGTTGACAGCTGGTGCGCACGTGGACCCCAATTTTTTGGAAACCACAAATGACCCCACGTGGTGGTCTGAAACACCTGTACACTGCCTATACCCTAAAGCTGCAACGAACTGGAAAACTTTTGAAAGCTCTAAAGGTACACAACTAATAGCGGGGATGTAGCTACCGCGACCCTAAGTCAGAATGCTATTATAGTGAAATGATTGTCAAATGGTCCTTCTGCTGAGGGTTGGGGTGTCTAAAGCATCCTTTTTAGCAAGGCCCTCTTCTGTGCATCCTTGACCGAGATGTAGTGGGGGCCTAAGCTGGCTTCCAGGAGCAGGCAGCATGCTTCAAGGGGCGTGGAGGAGTGGATCCCTAACATAATCCTTATCGAACCTCTTATAAGACTGCTTATATTCTCCTCCCCTCTCCCCCTCAAGTATACAATCACCGGTCTTTTTGCTGTGCTTGTTAGCATAGCTCTTGGTGCGTGATGTTGCCATCCCCATGGTCATTCGGATTGTTATGCATGTATTGAGTTTGGC